AAAAACCTCTGGAATCCGGATAGATATTCCAAAAATCCAGCTAAAATCAAGATTTGTATTGATTTGTCTAACTATTTTGGGGGGTTCCTTAAGCATGTTTAATTAGCACTTTGCTTCGTTTCATTGCCAAACCAATCATAATCAACTTAGTTAAGTTGTTTGAGTGGAGAATTTTAAGCAAAATCACAACAACTTTTACGTTAGTGTCACTGTTGGTGTTCATGGATCTATATCCCATCAATTATACTTTTTCTCAATTTTCTTTGAATAGTAGTAGATCACAAGTGATATATCAGTAGGAGATCCACTCATATATAATGGGTTCCATTTGAATTCAAAACAAGGTAGCAAAAGATATATCATTGCGAAAAACCGAGAAAAAAAAAAATTTATTGGAATGGAACTAATTAACAGTATCCATCCATAGCTGAAGAGTCCAAAAGCTCACTGTTAGGCATTTCTTGTTAATTTAGTTATTAAACTAAAGCTGGTAGGTAATCTTTCGTTTTTGGGAAGTTATTGCCTTCTTGTCAACAAGAATAGGCGCATGAACAATTGTCATACAGTTAGATCTTGATTAGAAAATTAACCAAGTGATAAATTGCTTATACATGAAGGAAGTTAGAATTATGGAAAAACCCTTATAGAAAGATGATAGATTATTATATATTCTCGTTGTAACTTTGTTTTTTTTTTTTTTTAACCAAGTGATATTGAGACGTAAGCGTCTACTGTATTTTGGTGATCGAAGATTTCTAGTATTTGAAGCAGACTGGTCTGTTTGGTTTCTTATCATTTGATTGTAAGTTTGTAACCTTAGGTATGTTTTGTAGTTGTTTTATGAAGTAAATTATATGAACAAAACTTGAGATTAAAAATACAATAATACTACTTGAACCTAATTTATTCACTTAGTCATATTCTGTTATTAGATTGACAGTGGACTCGACTATTAGTAAGAATACACTGTCAATTCAATGATTATGATACTTTAGGTCAATAAAAAAAATTAATGAATTAAATTTAAATAACATTTTTCATATAAATAACAGTAATGTATCCATGAAATGAAAAAGTTTATACAACTTGTTATGGCCCGCACTTCGGTAAAAGAATAGGCTAAATATTGTTCAAATCAGATCAAAGTAGGTTAACTAAAAACGAATAATAATAATTATTGCAACGATAGTGTGATGCCCATAGAATAGCCTTGATTGCCTTTGTATGATATCCAACTACATCAGTGAGAATAGTATTGGCATCTCTCTCTCTCTCTCTCTCTCCCTTTTGTGATGATTGTTTTTGACAATAACAAGGGATACTCTAATGCTTACGTTATATTGCACCTCTTTCTAATTTCTGGTTTTAACGGAATAAATTTGTTTGTTTGTCAAGTCAATCAGTAATTAAACAGCTGATACAGAGCTAGCTTCGTTTCATATGAGGAATGCACGTGAATGATGACATAGATTCTCTAACCCATGCAGCATATCATGAGAATGAATTGTATTGGCATCATTTTAGAGTCCCAAATGTGCAAAGAAGAACCAATAATAACGTACAAGAATTATGCCACATAAATAAGCCCAATAGGGCCAAGAATCATCTTATTACGGGTTCTTTGAATTCATGGTTGTTAAACAAAATGAAAAATGCGCACAATCGTCAGCAAACCACGTGCATCAAATCAAGCAAAACGTCTCTTATGACAAGTTATATTTTACTGTAACATAATGGGGACGACCGTGCTTGAAATACAAGTCTACTGGAAAAAAGAGAAGGCATTGGGCATTTATGTAATTTTTCAGCAAACATAAAAATTTGTATGCTTCATACAAATTGCATCATTCAGAAACTACAGCAACCAATCACTTTACCAAAAATGAGAATAACCCTTCTTTATGAATTGAGCAGCCATCTGGATTGATAAGTGGATATTTTAGGATGTTTACACATGATCATCATCTCTATTACTCTTCAGAAATCTTGAAAAATGTATAGGATAAGATCAAGTTGCTGATACCATCCATTTTAGGATCTGTTTCGAACTCGGGGTCTATATAAAAGAACACCTACAAATGCATGGTAAAGTGTAACAAGTTGCAATAGTGTAACCCCGGAAATTCTCAATGAAAAGAAAAGCAGCTAGAAACTGCTTACAGGCATGTCAATTTGCTCCCCAGGTAGAAGTCGCTGCTCCTCAAAGCAAAAGCATTGTATTTTGTTGAAGTAAACTGCAGCCTGGAAAAGGTCACAGCCTCTTAATTTCTTTCAGAAAATCTAGAACAAAGAAATGAGCCAATCTGAGATTCCTCTTTTTTCCAAAATACAACTCAAACTCAGATTCTCCGACAAGGCCATCTAAACTCAACCATCAAACGTTAAATGGCAAGAAAAAAATACGTACTGATTGAAGTGATCAAACAAGTTATTACGTGCATGGCAATTATTGGAACAATACTGAGAATGAAAAGGAGAAATACAAGATAAAGACAGTACTTTTTATGCCAAAAGCATCTTCGACAAGAAAATGCCTAATTTGGGCCTCCATGTGGCAAAACTGCAAGTCAAACTGTGTAATGCAAAATGTATCAACCGACATCCCATACCATTGTATCAGCATTTTTTTTCCCTCAAAAAGACTCAGCAATTTCTATCTATAAAAAGAAAGGCATGTTAATTTTACCAGCACTGAGCTGTCCACAATGTTGAAAAATGGGTCAACGATTGTGCATTTGATACTTGGAGATTTCCAATAACAAGACATAATTGTCATATTTATCTAGGGAAACAGAATCCACTATGTTTCTAGGGACCCCATAAGTTCCAACTCTAGAAGAGATGATTCAGAGAGGGAAAAAGAGCACAGTTTTGGGCCCTTCAAATCTTCCAGTACAAATTTCGGAATCAAATTGTCTGTCTTTATTTATTGAGTAATTTACTTTTCACTCTAATAAAGTCCCTTTCTTATCACAAAAAGTTAAAACAGGAAATGCAAAAGAGAAACCTGCTGCTAAATCTTCGGTGTACTATCCTGATATGCATGCACCAGATTTTTTGGGAAGGCACTATCATAACGTAAAATCAAACATGTGCCCAAACGTCACACACACAGAGAACTGACTGCCAAACCCTGATTAAACATACTCTACCTCTGACACACCCTTAAATCTCCTACTAATTTGTAGTATACTTCGGGTGTTTGGTTCTTAACAACTCATGCAGAATATGCTGGAATTAAAGTTGCTACTATAATGATAATAAAACCATGCCTAATGGCCAATAATGACAGTTTACCTAATCAAATCTGGGTGATCCAGAGAAGGTCCATGCTCTAGTCACATCTATCAAGGTGAATTAGTTACTTCAGAGGAAGAGACCAGTTCTTTTCAGTATGTTTGTGAGTAAGTTTGCGTATAATATACCAACACACTTCACCACATACTACATGAAAATCTCAGGACTTCAATGTTCTTATCGAAGTACATCTAATACTGGGAATTGAATTGTGTATCATGGTACATACACCTATAGTGACAATCAACTAAGAATTGTCTTTTATTAATCGGACAAACACTCTTTCACATAAGAACAGATTTGTGTTGCAGAAGCATTGACTTGGGACAAGATTCAGCATGAGTTTCAACTCTAAGAGACAATTGAAACAGGAATCCTGTGACATACGAGAAATAGTCGATGCATGTTTAAAATTTTAAAAATTATTTTCCAAATAATGGATGGCGAAACAAGTTCTGTACACACATTACAAATATCCAAGCATTATCAAACTGTTTTAAGATTATATTCTTAGTCAAAACTCAAAGCATATCAGACACCTATCTCTTTTCCTCTGATTTGATGCTACAGTTGTCTTCCCATGTTGATTAGTGAATATCCTATGGTATAAAATCAAATATAATAGTAAATTCATCCTTATAATATTGGGGATACCATACATCCATTTTGCTTCATTTGGATATCATAAAATCATTATAGACCTAAGTAAATCATAATTAGTCACTGCCACTACAAATTAAAAAAGATCATTAATGTAAAGAGGAAAATCACTAAAAATGCACTTGCGTTAGATTATAGAGCTCCCAAAAGCACAATGTTAATTCTATATTGTCACTAAAAGTGATTTTCTGGTATGCTACATCATTCTTAACTCAAATGTCATATATGGGAAGAATCAAACTAAGATAAGGCTTTTTAAGAAACTAGCAATGCACGTAAATAATTTTTATACACAAAAATTAATAAAACATATTAGGTATGTGTATCTGAATTAAATATCATTTAAAATTTACCAAAGTTAATTTTTCATTGCTTATATTTTATTATAAAATTATGAAAACTTAGTATGTTCTCAAAATTCTTTGTTCTAACTATAAAAAAAAAAGATTAAAAAAATAGTTAAAGTTCTATTTTTTTTAAAAAATTGTAATTGAGATTGATTTTTTTAGTGATATTTGAGAAATTAAATTTCTTGAAATTCATTTGATTAAGATTCCACTAATAATTCTTTGAATAAAATAAAAATAATTGTCAATATACTAATCACATTGAAACCTTATTGTAATTAGGAATTAGTTAGGCCAATTCAGATAAGATTTAATATACTACTTTATAATATATATTATCAAGCAAATTAATATCTAAAGAATTCAAGTTTTACTTAAAAATATACTACAATATTTATTTTTACATAAAATATTAGTACAACTTAAAAACTTTATTGTGACTGAAGAATTATACTGATGTAACATAAATTGATTTTGAAAAATTATATATACGATTATTTTTTATCTTACAAATGAAATGATTAAACTTTTTGAAGAAAAAGAAATACACAGGTAGGGATAATGTTATCTTTACATATGAGATGAGTAATATTAAATTGATGGAGTTTTGAAGGTTTTTTTAACAGTTTATTGAAAATATAATGATGTATTTTTTAAGGGTAATATAGTCAATCACAATTTTGTATAGAAACTAATATTTATATATAGAGAATAAATAATTAAAAGAGATATTATAGATAATTTGGAGATTTAAATACATAAAGATATGATGATAATTTAGATATTTAATTGTGAAAGGATGGAGTGATATTTGCAATACTATATAAGGGTAAAATAGATATTCAAAAAAACTTTATCTTAAGATACTTTTATTAATAATATAGATAGATTTTACACCCTACACATGATTACTCATAAAACAGTGGGACTTACGGTATAAACTCACTCATGCTCTCCCACAGGCCACAACTAATAAAATTCATTCATGTTCCCCAAGTCTAAAGTTTGAATCAACTTATGAAATCATTTGCTAAACCAGCTTTTGTCAGCTTGTCGACCCAAAAAAAAAAGAAAAGATTTTGTCACCCATGTGCATCCCTTTTTTGCTAGTCCCATCACAAAAAAAAAATTCTAGAAAAATTTGAAAAAGAAAGGAGAGCATTGTATCACTGCATACTCCCTTAACTCTTTATTTTTTTATTTTTGGGAGGACGGACTGGGAGAGGGAAAGGGAAAGGGAAAGGAAGACGGAAGGGGAAGGGGAAGGGGAAGGGGAAGGGGAAGGGGAAGGGGAAGGGGGAGGGGGAGGGGGAGGGGGAGGGGGAGGGACAGGGAGAGTGAGATTTGAACTCTTGACCTTAACAAGATAAAACCTTCACAAGATAAGCAGTACCATTGGACCAAAGGCCCTTTGGCATAGTTATTAAATCGTGTATCGGAAGGTGTATCGTTTTTTAAAAATAATGTATCGTATCGTGTATCATAAGATACGCTGTAATTTTAAATAAATAATAAAAAAATATATATACTTTTGAAAAAAAATTATACACTCATAAAAATATAGCATATCATTAATACTCCACCACCTATTCAAGTCATTAACATAGTTCACTAATATTATAATGCAAAATTTACAACCATAGTTCACTAATTCAAACTTTAAACACCAAAGAGACTTTTAATCCAAATTTCTAACATTCATTTTGAACTCAATCCATAAAATTAATCAAGATTAATGTCTTATTTAGACAAAACAACGTCGTTTTATCAATGGCGGGGATAAAATTAGTGTCTTATTTAACAAAATAAAGTCGTTTCAGGAAAAAAAAAACAGACTTTATGTGTATCAATCGTATCGTAAAAACGTATCGTATATCGGACGATACGATGCAAAAAAAGATAAATAACTATGATCCGTATCGTTTTATCTCTGTATCGTAACATATCGTACGATACATATCGCGTATCGTACGATACTAACAACTATGCCCCTTGGTACCTTATAGCTCTTTAAAGTCTGCAATCAAGCTTTATATGACGGATTATGAATGTAAATTTGGATTTCAATTTCACATTTATCTTTGAGAATTTCGAGTTGAAAACCACAGCACTGCTGCCACTTTTATTTTTCATTATTTTGGAATACGTTTGCAATCCTTTTTTCTAGCTTCCATTCATTATACTATGAATTATAAGACCCTAAAATGAGCTAACAAACTCAATACATGACATGTAGTCACCTAATCAAGAACTAAAATTCTAGGATGGATCACGTATACTTTTATTTCTTCTTACAAAAAAGGATTTGAGGGGGATACAGCCCGTGTCTTGTTGTAAGTTGCGCCTCACTAAGAGCCAAATAAGGAGGCTCAACGGAATCAAGGCGGAAGTTTGTTGCTCCCCATAGTCATGCTTTTGACCTTGGTCTCCCCGAACCATGTGGATGTGGGGCGTTAGATCACCACTCTCGATGCTATCGTGTAGTACCAAGCATGGTTGTTTCCTAGATTGAAGTGGTCTTTCATTGCCCTACCAAACAAAAGAAGTCGCTATCGAACAACTTGCCCCACTGAAGTACCAAGGTGTGCTCCGCCCAGTGAATAAGAAATGGGTTTGTGCTTGAATTGAAGTGGTGAGGTCACAAAGAGGGAAGTATGGCTGCTATTGAATAAAGGTAGGATCTTCGCTTTCCTTTAGAATGAAAGTCGCTATGAAGCCGTACTACTTACTTTGTTTGATTCAAAAGGTGAACAACCCCCCAACTAATCCTATGGTTGTGGGGTACTTGTGAAAAGATGCCTTGGATAAACCTTTCAATATTTTGGACAAGAAACTTATCACATGATGCCTCCAAATATAAACTTCAAACTAGCATCAACTAAAAACAGAACCAAATAATACATTCTAAGTCTCCGCATTCCTCAAACTAACCTTTATTAAGCAATAACTCCAATAATGATGATTTATTATAGAGATCAGAAAGCTAACTTGAACACCACATAAATGAAAGAAGAACAAATGAAAATTTTGAATATTTGTACCTTCATGGGTGTAACATTATATGTAGATACACCAGTTATGGGTGTTGAACTTCGATTTTCAGCAGTGTAAAATGCAAGGGCACTCTCTCCTGGCTTAACCCTTACCTACAGTACATTTCAAGAACATCACATTACAATATCTAGACATAATACATATAGAACTTCTAATCTAATAGCTGAAGAATTGAGGTAAAGTAGTACACTGACACTGATAACACCGAGTAGAAACTGATGTAAAGAGGATTGTCTAACAATGCAATTTATTTTCTCTGTATGGAGCATTAGTTTTGTGGGCCCATAATGTAATAGAAGTTTACCACCTGTCAATAAAAGGCCAATTTTTTGCTTACCTCTTCTTTGTCTATATTGTTGGTTTGGAATTTTTTTTTTTTTTTTGCTTTTAATTTTTTGTGGCTTTATTTCCTCTTAATTTTCCCATGGTGATAGAATGATTGCCATTGTTTATACATACCTCCATGTGCACCTACATGAATAAACATTCATACACACATAACAGCATGATTTAATATTTTCTATTAATCATTCTTTAATATTGACAATATCACACACTGGCTAGAATGCAAAGAGAACTTATTCCAATTTCGTTTGTTTGTATCAGTTTCAAAGAAAGCACCTCTCGTTGTGTAGGAACAAACTTCCAAGGCATTCCATCCGCCACATCAGCATTGAACTGCACCACAATCTCCCTATAAGAACAATACCAACAATTCATTAAAATTAGACGTACAAAAAATTAAGGGGGCTCCATCTTAGTCAAGATTTTAGTAATATACTGTCTAAATAGGATAGCAAGACTAGAATCCACATGATAAATATATAGTATGATTATATAATCCTGAAATGAATCGTGTCACTACTTTTAAGTGAGGTTTTTAGAATGAAATGAGATAATACAAGATAAATTGTGGGGGTTGATTTTCAGAAGACAAACTTGAACATTTTCCAAGTGACTAAATGGCAAACGGTTTAAACCTGGTCGTAATGGTTCCATCTTGAGCATGCCGCACAATTTTTTCTTCCACACTCTGGATAAACAGTAAGACCTGTGTCATTACCCAATAGTCCAAAAATATAAACATCTTCCTTATCATAAACCGAGATCTCACCTCCTTGCGCTGAACGGTGCCCCCATAACCAGTAGCTTGGCAGAATCTCCTATACAGAGGAACTGCAGCATAACTACATCCGACCATTGCAAATACCAACCCTGTCAAGTATACAAGCATCTTCGTCGACTTTTGTTCTCTGGAAATAGGAGTAGGAACATATTGCCGATGAAAACTAAGAAAAGGAGAAGACCTCTCCAAACTCCGAGTTCTCAAAGGCAAAAACCCATTACACCTATCCAACGACACCTTACTAAACTCAGATCTTGACATCAAACGCCCAAGTCCAAAACCATATTCTCGTGCATAGCTAGTATTATTAGCCCCCAGAAAATAATATTTCTGCCAAAATGCTTTGTATAAATGCCTGAATCAAAAAGAAAGGAATGGAATATCCATTTGGATCAAACGATTGGTCGTTACATTTGCATGCATACATACAAAATCATACATATAGATAGCTATATTTGTTGATGCGAAATTCAGCAAGGAATGTGCTTCTTTTTCTTTTTCCTTTTCCTTTTATTTTTTGCAAGTTTGGAACATGCTTCATATAGATGCAGATACAGCATTTTGCAATTAGACCAATACCTGGATTGATAAGGGGAATGCTGTACAGTGTTGTTAATGTAAGGAAATAGATGGGTTCTTCTGGAAAGTCTGGATAGTGACATTATTGAAAGGACTTTGTACCGCCAGGTATCAAAACATCCTCAATAGCATCTGAAACAAGATGAAAGTTAACTCAATTTAAATAGAGGAAAAATATAGCCTTTTCGAATTACCATGCTTCAATAAAATAGCTTTCAGATTGAAATAATAAAATCCTGGTTATGAAAAGATTCAAATTCTGCCAATCCTTTGTTTTACCTCAATTATCTTGGAAACCAAATAGGGCACTCGATAGCTAGGTTACAGAACTGAAGATAGGAATTTTGGAATGGAATACCTCTTTTTCGTGTTTTTCATAGAAGAAACTGGAATGGAATCATAGTTATTAAACCTAGCCCAGACCTCAACACAACAAAAAGACTATTCATAGGGTCACTTGTTCAACCGTTGCATCAACCAGTTGGATCATTCATACAATAAAAATTAAGAACAATTATTAATAACAAAATTATGCCAAAAATTTGTAAAACTTGAAAAATATCATGATTTATGTTAAGTGCATAAAAAAAAAACACAGAAAATATCAAACACGTCCACAATGCGTCCAACTTTCAAGACAATTAGGAAAGGTAAGTAGATAAAAGAAAGAAATGCAATGATCAAACCGTAGTGATTAAAGTAAATGGAAAAAAAAATGAATACTCAAACCATATTCATATAGTGCAGGGAAAAAAAACAAAATATATGACAGCGTGGCATAAGGCGTCAAAAACACAATGAGAAGAAATTGGTAAGTCCTGAAGTCACAAGTCTAATAACATTGTCCTTAATCAAGTCAAAAGTTCACAATCGCAAGTGGGTTTTAGCCTTTTCTCTCTGCAAAGCCAGCAGTCCAGAGCAAGTGTAACACATACAATTAAATATATTCCTTTTTTTTTGGTAATTAAAAGAACCGTCGTGATACTAAAATGAAGCATTTTATAAAGAAGGGAAAATTAAGAAAAAACTCTTGAAAATTAACACAAAAGCATTAAGAAACACAATATGCTAATCAATTATGAATAGGCAGTTAGCCTTCATGCCCCATCCATCTTCAGTAGAATCAATCCATCAGTAAGGAACAATATCGTCAATATGAATTCAAAACCCAGAATATTATCCTTTTGGAAGAAATGAACTTTAAACTTCAATTTGAGCACATTCGGCTGCGCCCCTGCACTGTGTAACACGCCAAAATGAAGAATGAAAAGTTATTTTGAACAAACATTTTGCGTTTCGTTTGAACGATTTCTAAAACAACATAAAGTAGAGTTATATAACAAAATTTATAATTCACAACTTCTAGAAGAACATATTCAAAATTATGGTTCTTGAGTGGGCTGTAACCATTAACAACAATGCAAACAATGCAATCCACAAATTTCGACAAAACAATCGACAAAAATATTTAGGGGTCATTTGGTAACGTTTTTGTTTTCGCGTCTTCAAAAAAATAAAAAACAAAAATAATTTTTCTCTCTATTTTGTGGTAATCACTGAAACATAAAATACGTTTGGGAGTCATTTGTGTTTACCAAATTATAAGAAGAAAAATTAAAAACATGTTTGATAACCACTTTAAACTATATCCTTAAGTCCCCTGTTTTTCCTTTCAAAAATGCTATTGAGACTTAACAAATTAAATCAACTTCTATTAGTTGTTCATAGCCAGAAATTTCTGCAAAGTTGATACAAGGTCTGGCTTCAACTGTTTATGTTTATTATTACGCTTTAAAAGCAGCCATTTTTTCACTTCATAGAGACCATTAATAAGTGTTGCAGTGGTTCATCTACAATTTACTATTCAACATAGCCCATCAAGGCTTTAGTCGATATCTCAATGTTAGTGAACTTGGGGGGTTAGGAAAAAAAACAAGAATTTATAATTACATTCAAGTAAGCAGCAATTTTTTCCTCCTTCAAGCTCAGACTTGTTGCCACTGCCTAGAATCGAAAACCATCAGCAGCATAAGGTCCCAAACTTTTCACCATTGTCATCCAAATGGTTACAATTTGTTCACTTACACAATTAATCAAACATATTATGCTCAATTTTTCATATGGGAACAATTTGTTCACTTACACAATTAAACAAACATATTATGCTCAACATTCTAAACAACATACATACACACACAACACACAGGCATACACACAACATACACACACACAACACACCCATCGGATAAACACACACAGAAACCCTATACACACACATCAAAACAGAGGCAAACACACACTCAATCAAAGACGATACAACAATACACAACAAGCTTGAAATATATGCACCAAAGCTTGAAATAAATCAAAGATCTATGTATATTTATGCATATATATACAGATATGTGTATATATATGCATATATATTCCCAGATCTATGTATATATAGAATTGTATATACATACCTTCACAGCAACAGAGAGATCGACAGAGGGTTCCGTTGAAGCAGGCAGCAACGAAGATCGTTCAAGCAGCAAGATGTGAGGGAGCATCGATTGGCCTTGCAGAACACAGAGACACTTCACATGCCTCGGTTCGTCTTCGTAGACGGAGAGACAGGAGCGAGAGCGAGAGAGAGAGATGAAGTGAGGATGCCTTCTGAAGGCAGCTTTTATTTCCACAAATAATGAGCGGCTTTTGTTAGTAACAAGGATCGAATCGCAGACTTCATTAAAACCTTTCAGCCCAGCTAGCGCATGTTTCGTGTGTTCCTAGACACATTTTTTTTTGGGTTAATTATAAGTTGTACCCTAAAAAATAGTTCGAATCTCAATTTAGACGCTTAAAGATAAAAAATTTCAAATTATACCCTCAAAGATAAAAATTTATATCAATGTGCACCCCAAAGATAAAAAATCTTAATTTTCACCCTCAAATATAGAAAATTTTATCACCTAAAACTAAATTGATAAATTATACCTAGATCCCTTCATGCTTGTCACTTAATCATTTGGACTTATTTACATTTAGAATATTACTCCTATATCTCATGGCATTTGTGCAAGTGCAACACGTAACTCATTTTCGTTGATATATGTTAATATAATTGTTAAAAAATATAATTTTATCCTAATAAAAAGTTATAATTTTATATTATCTTTTTTTTTGTGGATCCGATATATTCTAAAGTTCAAAATCAAGCTTATCATTTGAATGTCTAATAGAATGTAGATATTTATATAATATTTTCTATATCAATGCAATATATTACTCAATGTGCAATCCTTTATTCTATTAGACATTCAAACGATAAAACCTGATTTTGAATTTTAAAGTATATTAGACATATAAAATAAAAGGTAATATAAAATTATAATTTTTTTATTAGAATAAAATCATATTTTTTAAATGTTATATTAATATATATCAACAAAAATAGGTTACGTGTTACACGTGCACAAATATCATGAGATGTAGGAGTAATATTCTAAATGTGAAGGAGTCCAAATGATTAAATGACAAGCATGAAAGGATCTAGGTATAATTTATCAATTTAGTTTTAGGTATACATTGATACAAATTTTTATCTATGATGGTGTAAATTAAAATTTTTTATATTTGAGGGTGTACATTGATACAAATTTTTATCTTTGATGGTGTAAATTAAGATTTTTTATCTTTGGAGGTGCACATTAATACAAATTTTTATCTTTGAGGGTGTAAATTAAAATTTTTGATTTTTGAAGGTACAAATTAAATTCGAACGATTTTGGAGAGTACAATTTACAATTAACCCATTTTTTTTTTCCCATTTTCCTATCTTATTTTACAACTTAGATAAACACATAAAATAAAAGTAAATACCAAACATATTTTTGTTTGTTTTTTATTTAAATCTAAAAACAAAAACACAAACCATAAAACAAAAAAACCAAACAAACGGCCCCTAGAATCAATCACCAGAATCGTGCCTTGAAGAACAAATCAATGTTAAATGATTAAAAAACCAAATACATACATTTGAACACAGACACTACTTCCGCCAGAGTTCAGGGGCCTCACATGGCGGGTGATAGAACACCCAAAGAGACATTTATATTTCGTTTGGTTGGAAGAGTAGAAAGTAGGAGAATATATTTTTTATATTTTAAGGAAGAAAAGTAAGAATGATATATTTTTTTTTTCTTTGTGTTTAGTAAGATGGATAAAAAATAAAAATAATTAATTTTTTTTTTATGTTGACTAGATTATGGGTAACAATCTAATCGTGTCGTGTCAGATTCGTGTTTAGTCATTGCAGGTTCGTGTTAAACATTTATCAAACATAACTCAATTCATTTAACTAATCGTGTTATGTTGAGTTGACATGTTTATTTTTGCATCATATTCGTATTTATATTCCTATTCACTCACACAAATTTTGAATAAAAAATTTAATGCTAATATTCTATTTTCACTTAATTGAATTCATGCTCATACTTTTTCTACAAATTAAAAATTAACTTAAATAAATATAATAATAATGAATAAAAATATCTTTTTTATATAAAAATATGTCATTGTTTAATAAATAGTTACAAATAATTAACATTTTATATCTATAATACTAGTTAAAATGTTAATTTTGTATTACCATACAAACGAGAAAATGGAGAAAATATTTATTCTTAAATAATCAAGTTGATAGTGTCAATTTTGGGTCTGACAGATTGAACTGAATATAAAGTGTTTATATTTCGTGTTCATATATTAGATCATTTTTGAGTTTGTGTTGAGTTATAATCAAGTTAGTGTCATAAAATCTATGTCGAGTTTGAATCGTCATCGTGTTAAGTCAAAAATTATGAAATTAATGTATACATAATATATGTATATGTATATCTATATCTATCTATACTAAGCAAAAAAAAATTGTTGGACTAAAATAGCCATGACAATAGGACTAATGCCGATTGTATCATATCTTCTTAAAATTGCACCGTTACTCTTACTTCAGGCAGGTAAAGAGGCTGGCCTCTTCGAGTTCCGTCTACTCTTAGTCCCAAGATTTTTTATGCTATTTATCATTTGTTTCCTATCGCCCTAACCCTTTCGATACCGGTTTTGGTTTGTCAAAAATGGTGGTGACACCACCGAGCTTTCTCGCCATGCCTCGATGCGACGGCGCAGAGTGACAATGGGTCTACTTTCAGAATGTGTTTTCTGCAAGGATTGCCTTCTTCTTCAATAACTCGCTCCATTTTTCGCCATGCGATAGGATAGCAGATTTCTTCGAAATCAGCCAATTCTCAGTTCGATGTGTTCCGACCAAAGGTTGATGAAATGTCTCTTCTCATCAACAACACCGCAAACTTCTATATAGTAACAAACCAGTCTCTCTCTCTCTCTCTCCAGTTTTCAATCATTACATGTATGTAGGTATATATAGAAGTTTATCTCTGTGGGTAAGTGTTTGTGCACGATAATTTGGGGGTTTTGTGTCTTTGTTTATTTGCACATCTGTAAGGGTAGAAATCGCTACGGATTTCATCCCTCCACTTGAAGGATTCCGGCTGACCTAGCGGCACCGAGTCCCATTAGTCTTTACCTCTCTTCGCCAATAGGACCCTTTCCTAAGGCACATCGGAAGAGAGTCGTCTTCCCCCTGCCATATAAGTGAACACTTCCTATGGAGGAGGTACCCACTAGCGACCTAATCAGGTGCCTAGTGGGTACCTCCTCCATAGGAAGTGTTCACTTAAATGGCAGGGCGGAAGACGACTCTCGGGAAGACGACTCTCTTCCGATGTGGGATTGCCTTAAGAAAGGGTCCTATTGGCGAAGAGAAGTAAAGGCTACTAGGGTTCGGTGCCGCCAGGTCAGCCGGAATCCTTCAAGTGGAGGGATGAAATCTGTAGCGATTTCTACCCCTTACAAAAAGGCGCCTTTCTGTAAGGGGTAGAACCCTCTACTAAAGATTTCGGTTTGACCTGGGTTAACCCACGCGGGCGACCCCCAGTAGCCTTTACCTCTCTTCGCCAATAGGACCCTTTCCTAAGGCAATCCCACATCGGAAGAGAGTCGTCTCCCCCCCTGCCATATAAGTGAACACTTTCTATGGAGAAGGTACACACTATAGAAAGTGTTCACTTATATGGCAGGGGGAGAGACGACTCTCTTCCGAGATAAAGGCTACTGGGGGGTCGCCCGCGTGGGTTAACCCAGGTCAAGCCGAAATCCTTAGTAGAGGGTTCTACCCCGCGTGGGTTAACCCAGGTCAAGCCGAAATCCTTAGTAGAGGGTTCTACCCCTTACAACATCTACTGAAAAATGGGCTTAGATCTAAATTGGGTTTGCTTTGAGATTTATATTCTTTTGCTTAAGTTTAATAGTATTACCAAATTTTCAACTGTTAAATTCACTTCTTTTTCATGTGTCTGTGTGAATGAGCATCTAAGAAATGATAAGAGTTTTAACTCTTTTTAGATACCATTCCTGCAATTACACTTTTTCTATCAATGACTTGAATTGTGGGAATTAGGATTTGCAAACCTTGCCAATAGAATTGGTTGATGAGTATCAGAGAGGGGCATGGACAACATATTGAGTATACGTATCTTTAGTTAACATAATATCTTTGATCATCAACCATAAAATTATCTTCTGTCTTGGTTTTTTTTTTGAGACTAGATATTCACAATTTTTATACTGTGAATATTGTGCTTGTTTTAGCAAATTTTTGTTCTTGTAGGTTCATTTGAGTTACTTTTAGCATCCGTTCTGTTTTCTCTGCTGGATTTCAGAATGCACCAAGAAAGAATTGCTTACAGTCAAATGACATTGTCATATTGTGACACTGACTGATATTGATATATGTATATATATTCCCAAACAGCTGGTAGATGTGCTTCGGGTACTCTCTTTGTTGAATGAAGCTACATGGGCTGTCAAGGGCAGGTCATATTGCAAACAGACAAATTCAGGAGTTTTTTGACCCCTCAGTGTTTCAATCACCGAGTTTGGTGCAGTAATTCTTGGATCCACAGTGCATCTTCTCCTCATTGTGTAAGCATTTTAACACCACAGGATTTTTGTAAATAAGTCAGTAATTGGTTCAGCAGTTAATAAGATAACCTATTTGAGCTGCTTAGTAGATGGAAAAGTAGGATGTCCTTACTAATTGTAACAATCAATAGAAGTAACGAATATGAGTAATATTTCTACTCAATCAAGTGCTTATCCATGCCTATAAGCTGAATTTACCTGCATTATGACAGATAATGGAAATGTTCAAATTTGTGGAGCAAGGATTGCTGCTTACTCATGAAACTTTAGACTCTTAAAATCTTCGCTTAGATTGTTGGATTCATTCCAAGTCCCACTGGCCAGTGCTTTCTGTTGTGACCATTTATATTATGTCACATCACATATGATAATACAAATTAGCTTGTCTTGCATTTTCCGAACTCTGATAATTGGCCACTTACTGATCCTCTACCACCATATGGTCGAGGTAGGTAGTTACCTGTGGAAGGCATCAAAGCCTCCTTTATGGAAACAATCTAACTGATGT